ACCTCCAGCCAAGCTTTCAAATTATTGCCAGCCATCAGCCAAATAAGGCCACATCTAAGCTGCTGTTAGTAAACACATCCTTCTCGCTGTGGAGTTTTAATCTATGTTGGAAATCTGTGAAACATTTCAAGAAGAAGGTGAAGTGTGACAGTTATCTTGTTGCTCCAGGCAACCAGATGTTGACCTCCACCAACTATTTTCTTTAGTCTGGTTGCCACTTTTGGCATCTATTACACCTACATTTAAACCTGCCCTGTAACCATTTGATTACATATGTTTGACTATATACACATGTACTATCACTGCTCCAGTTATACATAATTTTATAACCATTCTGACACCTTAGGCAAACAAAAGCTGATGGCCCAATAGCCAGTTGTAAAACTTATTGTTGGGCCCTGCGTCATGTTACAGTTTCTACATAAATGACTGTTCCCAGCTGTAATGATGTCTATAAAGATCATAACAAGCTGTGATAAAGAGTTGTTCTTCAGGATTTCACACTGTCGTCATATCAGTGATAAGATCCCCAGAAAGCACAGCCATCACTGCAGCAAGTTTACAGATTCTTCTGACTGATATTTGATGGGTTTAATTCCTTTTAGCCATGCTGGCAGCATGCCTCAGGGGATGGCAATGTCGGTCGGTCCACCACTTTGGCCCAAATTAAATTTAAAAGTTCCTGCTCTCCTTTTCTTGCTTCCTTTTCCCATGTCTTCCTCCGTCTGTCTTCTCTGTCTCTCCTGTTATTCCCCTGCGGAACAGGATGCCCTACCTGGGGCTGTTGACTGAGAGAAACTTTGGTATTTTAAACGTTTGCATACTGCGCTGCACAGAGAGGAAATCGGATCTAGGGCAACAGCTCTACCCTCGGGCACAGGGGGTAACCTGTAGGCAGACACACAAACACACACATGCACACACACAGTGTTCAGAAAGCAGCGCAGGGAAGAGTTATTGCAGTGTGAGTTACATGGCTGCCTGTAGCTAAGTGCCTCGTGTTGACACAGGCTCTGTGTGGCACAGACCCATATAGCCAAGCTGTTGTTTGCTGAGTTTGGACCATGCCATACTGGCCGGAGAGATAATGGAAAAGGTTATTCTGCTTTACAGTCTGAGCCTCCGTCTCCGAGCAGCAGCTTGGTTTGTGTGGATTGGGGGTTTCTGTGTGTGGCGACAGCATGATAATGTCAGCACTTCTCATGACATTTGAAAGTGTAATGGCTGAGGTCACTGTGCTTGTCACTGTTTTGTGGGACTGTGTAGGTTTTTTTTGGAATGACCTCCTAACTGCCTGTCTTTTTCTTCCAAACCTAGAGCTTCTTTTTACGTAATCTAAAACATTAATTTAGTGTCCAACCCCCTATAATACCATGACCATGTATATGTTTACCCCGGGAGGCTTAGTAAGAATTCATCCCCAACTCTTTACCATGTTAGAGCTAAGCACTGCTGACTGAGCCACAAAGCAAAAAATAATTCAGCCTTTGAAGCAAGCAGGTTCATTCCTACAACCTGAAGCAATCCTGTTGCTTAGCATATTCTCTGGCCATGGCTCTGTGAATGCGAAGCGGCCTATTTGTAGTTAAAAATGAAGCTGAGCGACATGCCGTGGGGGGGCAGGGTACAAAGCGACAGGTCATTCCTAACAGCGGCGGGCTAGCTTCCCGTAAGTGCTGCAATCAGATTTCTGATGGTTTTTTTATGCCTGCTCAATCGTAGTGGGAAAATGTCGATTTTTTTTTTCTTTCCCCACCTGACCCATTATGCAGCCTGCTGAGAAATAATGAGATTTTGTCCCTATTTGGGTTTGATGCTTGCTGTGCTCTAACACACAACCTGGCCGTCCACCGCTGCCTGGGGAATGTAGTGTGGACAGAATTACAATAAGGGCTAATAGCAACATCCAGGCTAGGTGAAGGAGCGGTGATGTAGCTTGCGGTGTGAGGCCCATACAAAGTCTTTTTGACATGACATGGGTGTCATTTTGGTGCAGTTTTATCCAATGTGCCTTTAAGTAAACATCCATAGTGATTGTTTTCATTATTGATCAGTCTCCAATCTGTTTTCTTGATTAACAGTAATCAATAAAATATCAGGAACTTGTGAAAAGTGCTCACCACAATTTCCCACAGACTGAAGTAATGTCTTCAGATGTGTTGTTTTGTCCAACCAGAATTCCAAAATCTAAAGATATTCATTTTACTACAGTATAAAACTTGAGAAAGGCAGCAGATCCTTACATTGGAGAGGCTGGAAAGGGCAAATATTTACAATTTTTGCTTGAAAAATGACTCAAACAATATCAAAACCATTGTATATTAACATAATAGTTTGTCCGCAGTCTAACAGATTAACCGACTAATTGTTTACTTTATTGCAGTTTTCAAGTAATCTGTACAAAAGGAAAACAGCACATGAGCAAACAGTAATAGACAGAACAAGTAGGTGAGGTATAATAAGACATAAATAACTGAAAACAAGCCAATGGTAAGTAATAATCAATAATCAATAATCCGACTAAGTATTTAATCTCTATATCAATTAGGGGTGGGAATCACCAGAAGACCCAAGATACTATATTATCATGATACTTAAGTCATGATACAATATTATTGCGATTTTAAATATATTGTGATATGCTGAGTGTTGTGATAAAATGTATTGCGATATATTACCTTGTTTTTAACTGTAAATTATGTCTCTAAAGCAAATGTTTGTCAACATCTGTTTGCTCTAATAAGTAATAAGAGCGCTATAATAGGTTTTAATCTGTTTATCTCACTTCAGTCATTGTTATTGCAGCAGCAAAATGTATCTGTTGAACTGGAAAAGTAATTGATTATATTATTCTAGTAGGCTACCTAAAGTTAAATTTGTATTTGTTATATTAATAATTTACATATTAAAAAAAAGACTGATGAATCGATATTGCCACACAAAAATATTGTGTTACTATGCTGTATCAATTTTTTTCCCCCACCCCTAGTATCAACCCCCTTGATTGTTTTTGCAGTTTGCTCCATTACACTTTAGGGCTGCAACTAACAACAGCTAACAATTATTTTCATTATCGACTAATCTGCTGCTTACTTTTGTTAGTAATTAATACATATTTTAGTCTATAACACTTGAATTTGAAAAATGCTCATCACAATTTCCCAGAACCCAAAGTGACGTCTTCAGTTTGCTTCTTTTGTCCAACCAACAGTCCAAAACCCAAAGACTCTTCATTCACTGTAATAAATGACAAAGAAAAGCAGCAAATTTTCACATTTAAGAAGCTTCAACCAGCAAATGTTTGACATTTGTGCTATTAAAAAATGACAGAAATGATTAATTCATTATCAGAATAATTTGCGGTGTTCTTTCGATCGACTAATCATTTAATCGACTTGTCTTTTCAGCTCTATTACACACGTTATGTTTCTGTAATTTTACTTCTTTAATCTGTTTGGCTTGGCTGCTGTTTGTATCCCCATTTCTGTGATACATTGTTATAACCACCCTTGTTATGACGTGGTTACACATCTCTTATCCAGTTACTATAAGTACTCAAAGAGAACCATGATCTTTGTGTGCATCGTTTCTTTTACTACAGTGGTTCAATAGTTCAAGGTCCACGCAATTAAATACTTGGCGTCATACTTGTGTTTGCACATGTCATCAAGCTAGTTTGCTGTCTTTGTCAAATAGCTGTCAGTTATTCATTCACTCCACAGCAGGACAGGAAACAGCACTTCAAAATAAAAGCTCTGTGCCGGAAATTCAATGTACTTAAAAATAAGGTGTGTTTTTTTACCAACTTGACGTGTTCATGAGTCACTTGTGGTCCATTCAGAATGGACCTGCGACCTACTTTTGGACCATGACCCACCAGTTGGGAACCACTGTTTTGATATATCTTTACTTTGTTCTACTTGCGTAAATGTTGTAAGGTACCTTAACTTTTAAGGTATTTGATTCACCAAATTAGCCACAAACAAACATTCTGGTTTAGTCTTTTTCAAACTGTAAAATATTTCACTTGACTTACATCATAACTACAGTATATTGCTACCACAATTACATTTATTCGTATAGTGATAGAACATGTTACCCCTACTCCACTTATGCTTTACGACATGTGCACAAGCACTGCTATGAGTGTGTGTGATGCCATGGTGTTTTAAAGAGAAGGTTGACGCCAGTGGGGGAATTTAAGAGAGTTTTAATTTGGAGCTATATTTTTCCAACACCTCAAAGGTCTCAACATGGTCTCCACCAAATTCCCTATAATAATATTTATAAAAGTGTGTTACAATCATTATTTATACTCCCAAGATTTACTCAAGCTTGACCGGGTAGGTTTATGTATTGTCACCCAAACTGAACATTGGAATAACAGTAAGGAATGTTGGGATAATAACACATGTTGGATTATAACCTTGACTTTCTCACGTGTCGTCAATCAGCAGGCTGTTATGGCTCACAACATATGCTTTTGTTCGTAATGGTCTCGGGTAATAACTCTTAAAGTTGCTTCTGCTCTGTAAAGATGCTGCTGGAGCCAGACCAAGGACAGGCAGAGTATGGGTTCTGCCTATAGAAGGTTAAATAGGGGTGTGTCGATATCCATTTATGGCTAATTGTGTCTGTGTGTGGGTTCGGCTCGTGTGCATGTGCAGTGATTGATATATAACAGAGCAGTGTAAGCGCAGGGGTTTAAACATTTGGCAGAAACAATGGGTATACATGTTTCTGCTTTTATCCATGCACAGTTTTGTCTTGATTCTACACAGGGTTTTTATGCACTTGGCCCCATGTGTGTGGAAACATACTTGGCAACCAGTGTCTTCGTAATGTTGTACCCGTTGGTTTGCGTCAAATTGAAAACTGCTTGATTTCATGTTCATGTTTTTAATTATTTCTCTCACTCCGCTCTCTTTTTCATCTTTCTTACTCTTTTCACTCATTCTTTTTTTTAACTTTTCCCTCTCGTGTGTTTTTCTCCTTGGCAGGCTTCATCGCAGCAGCTGAAATTCACAACCTCTGACTCCTGTGACAGGATCAAGGATGAGTTCCAGTTCCTTCAAGCACAATACCACAGGTGCAGACAGAAACACTTTCATGCACACAGACACGCGAACACACACAATTATAAAGGAGAAGCGGTTACATACCACAGCCTGATGAGTGCAGCTCTTTTTCAGAGGGAGCATATCTCCAGGCTATACATGGATCACTTAGTGTTTTGCTTTATTGAACATATTTTTGTAACAGTAGCCACAATGTTAAACTGCAGAACTGAGCTGCATTACGGCTGCCATGCCTAGGCCAGAAATTGGGTTTTAATAAGTAAGTGTATGGCGTTAATCAACACTTCATTTCACATAATGTCACATACACTTGGGAACTAGCCAGGTTTTTATTTTACAGGTCTTTCATGGGAGGTTCCCTTGAAAGAAATATAGATTTTGACACTAATTATAGGTAAAATAAAGATGGTGTTCACTTGGTACACTTCCAGTTGATACTGTAAGATACTGTAATTTTGCACAACAAATCTACAGTAGGGGTGTCAAACTCATTTTAGTTAATGGGCACCATACAGCCCAGTTTGATCTTAGATGGGCCCGACCAATGAAATCATCGCACAATAAACCTATAAGTAACATCAGCCCCAATATTTTCCCTTTTTTATGTGAAGAACTACAAGTACATTCTGTAGACGTTCATCCTTTTACAAAAGAGATGCACAGCCTGAGATGTCTTAAGAAAAATAGATGTATTTTCAACAGTATGTCTCAGTTTTTCCACATTCAGTCAGTCTACTTCTCACTCAGTACGTTTACATGACACTTGAAAAAAAAAAACAATTATTGCCTTAATCGGACTATAACTGTACGACTGAAGTGCACGTAAACGTGTTACTCCAACTAATATCGGAGTTCTCCAACTCCAATTAAGACACCCAGATAATGCGATGGGAATTTGATTTTCTCCGGCATGTATACGCCTTAATCGGAGTTAAACTAGACAATGCAGGTGCGCATGCTCCACACCCCCCACGCTGGCATATGACCCCAGAACAGACTAGACATGCTATTGTTGTAGTCCTCCAACAGCATACAGCGTTGTTGTCTGCCTCTCGAAATCACCATGACCACGAGGGATAGCATGCACCTTATCTGCACAATCAGTAACGCGTACATTATGTACTAGATGAACAAAGCTGTACGATTATCCATCTTGCTCTTGTTTGAAAATGCCGGTCTGCCGCCTGACTCCAGTTGTTTATTATTAAGTGACGTAATAGGTCAACTGGAAAGGGGGCCGTATTAACCCTCTGAAACGATTCATATCGCCACCTAGTGTTGGGGAGGAGGACACATTCCTGTCAGTAATTCAATTTTCTCAGTTGCATGTAAACTGGGACAAGGACAGAAGTCCGATTAGATGCCAAAATCAAATTTTGAGCATAGCTCGATTAAGCTAAAATGTACTGACTGTCATTACGAGCCTGGGCTCACTCCAAAGTCATTGAAATGGTGCTTGGGCAGTGATAAGTATCGTCAGAAACCAACGAAAAAATGTGTCCTTTAATGTCTGCTTGATACACGTCTGGTAAAGTCTAATGGCGCCCGGCGGCGTCAGGGGGAAAGGTGGCGGGACAAGGACGAAAGTCCGAGTGGAGCACTTGGGAGGGATGGTGGATGGGTCCAACAAACATTGACCTTCACCCGAGAGAGAGTTGTTGGCATCTCATAACATTTTAAAGCCAAACACTGTTCTTTTTCCCTAAACCTAACCACGTGCTTTTGTTGCTTAAACCCAACCATGTTTGTTTGTTGTTGAAGGAAAAAAAACGTCAATTTGCGTTGTTGTATCAACGTAGTGCATTTATTTCCTGTGAAAATGGAAGTGTATCTTGAAAGAAGACAATGCATGTAACAGACAGAACTTGACAGAGTGTCCCAGAACTTCAACAACCAATCCACCTGGGTGGATGTGGATAGTCCATGACGAAAACATCAATATGTGACAAGGTCGTAGTGAGAATGTGTTGTCATTATATGTGCGTTTATCCATACATTTCATGATACAGGTGTGATACAATCTGATACAGATTCTCTGATTCCGCTGAAGCTGCTGATTGACAATATTTTGCACAGTATTCAATATCTTTAAACATGGTCACAATAGGTATTCATTGTTACATTAGAACTGTACTCATGTCAGGGTGGAAAAGCCTCTGAAGCAGAATTTTACATCAAATAGGCAGCACATTGTTTAACTTGCTCCTGAAACCTGTCTAGTCTTCTATTGGGCTGGATTGGACCCTTTGCGGGCTGGTTCTGGCCCACGGGCCGCATGTTTGACACCCCTGGTCTACAGGCAAGCACAACATTCAACATGTATGAGGAATGAATACATATTGACTTCAGTTTAAATGGAGCAGTTCTTTCAAGGAAATTCCTCTTAATGTCACTAGTTCCCTTTATAACCCAAAGGAACTGAAAAACTAAAATGAGAACTGAATCTCTATTTGGCCAGTTTGTATCCCACATTTTGTAAGTTCCTCTCAAATAAAATTTTAAGAAATTAATTTGGAATTCATAGGAAATAAAAGTCATAAAATAAAGCTTTGCAGAAAAATGTAGCTTGAGGGATGCCTCAGCAGTCAGTTGTGATAAAATAAAGACATCTGCCTTTGTTCCACTATTCCTCAACCCTACCACACTGCACACTGAGGCAACATCCTTTATTGACTCATACCTAAATCAATCTCGTTTACCCTCGGCCATTGATCTCCCTTTACTGCTTAAATACCGCTACAGTGCCAGAAGTCTGAGGCACTTCCAAAGTGCCTGGTTCGACCTCAACTGATCTGTTTGATAGCAGTTATAAAGAGGGGGGACGCCACGGGGTCTGCATCTCAGTGAGAGATCCTCTCTTTGTGAGAGTGGAGTCTTTGAAGCCCGCCTTCCTTCCTGAGGAGGTTGGTTTGTTCTTCTGTACCTGTTCTCCCAGAACCTTCCAGAGGCTTGCCTCTGCCGGTTACAGAGACAGGCGAAGGCAGATGAAAGCCTGGCAAATTGTGTGCAAAATCCCTGCTCTGGTCTGATCGCTCTTGTTTGCGGAGGATTCTGAAGCAGCAATAACACCCGGCGCGTCTTTTTCCTCGCCTTCGGTTTTTGTAATTCCCACAACGGTGAGCAGCACCGTTTAACCCTCTTCAGAGAGCCAGGGCGCAGTTGAAAGAATACCTTTTTTGTCTGAGCATACAGAACATGCATACAGTGCCTATTGACTCAGGAGGGGGGCTGGGATGGGGTGGGGGGCTTGGGAGCCACAGCCGAGGCTTTGTAGCGCTTTGCTGCTGTGCTGTGCTTGTCTGGTGCCGAAGCCTTTAAAAGGCAAATGCACCGCAGGCGTTCCCCCGGGTATAGTAGCAAGCATTGTAGCTGTCGCTGTCTTCCTCTTCCCACCCTCCTCCTCTTCTACCACCTCTCCTCCCCTCCCCTCGTTCACATGCATAAATAGATCAGGGAATACATAAATCAAAATAAAGATGACAGCAGGAGCGATTTAGAGACGGAAGAATCGGCAATAAAACTCCATCAAAGTGTCGTTTGAGAGCAGCGGTGCAGGCCCGGGGGCTGCTGCGCACCAATCAGAGGAGGCACAAAGCCAATCCCAGGTAGGCTGGCAGCGGGGAGGCCTGTTGTCATGACAACCCACCACACAGCCTACGCATGTACACAGGGATAGCAGGAAGGGTTTTATGTAGGAGGGAAGGGGAGCATTTTGGATAAGTGGAGGTTGCTCATACACACAGAATAAAACTGCCCATCACCCCCAACAAAGAAGCACACCCACCCCCCCAGGGCTGTCAATCAGGTTGGATATTCTGTTGCGTGCCGTGGTGTAAGCAGCTATGATCATCCTGTAAAGTGGACTGATTGTGTTCCCATACAGCAAAACTCATCCTCACCTTGATTATGTGATGGGCGTCAGGGCCTCGTCCAAGCTCCTTCCACCTGCACATCTTCACCATACTAGTTCAGTACTGGCCGCATGTGTTTTCTGTTCCTTTCTTGTGTTATTGAAAGCTGATCCATATCTATAGATCATTTTAGGGCCAGCGTCAAAACGACGTGAGTTTGTTAGCTGGAGGCAAAACACGACTTGCCACCACAGGGCTGTAGGCTACATAGGAGTCTTAAAATGTTGTTTTGTTGTGTTACTGGCAGCCAGAATAGAAGGAGTCATGGCCGTCAACAAAAACGAAGACAGCTATGGTTAAATGTGATAATACTAAAGGACTGGACGGAGGTGATCATCAGAAATGCTTCATATCAGGTTAGGTAAAAAGTATTTCCTTTTGTAGGGTTAGGGTTAGGGTTAACACTCGTGGTCCCGGAGAGTAAGTGACCTGCCATGGTGCGTTTGTAAATTCAGTCTGACGCTGTGCAGTAAAAGGAGAACCCTGTTGGTCAAAACGGAGAGCTCTATTTCTATATGAACTAACGAATGGTTAAGTTAATCACACAGTCACTCCGCCTGGCGCTCTGCTACTCCGTTTCGTCAAACAGAATGTCTAGAGTTTGTTCTGCCACTCCAGTGCGGTGCTCCGGATAACTGAATGGTACATTTAGACAGCACCTCTGAGTTTCTGAACAGTCCAGTTTGTGCTAGAGTCCGCTCCACCACTCAGAATAAATATTTCTCAATGCACCACTTGCATCATCTACCTCCATTGTCTAAAACAAGCCAACAGAACTTGCTAGGTAGCTAGCTAATGTCTGTGGAGAATTGCTTTGCCTCCAGCTAAGACCCGCCCACCAAAAAAACATCATACTGTTTACTAACAGTAAAAGGGTGTGTAGTTATAGATATCTACAGTAAATCCTTGTTATATTTAAAAGGCAGTTAACCTTCAGAATCAAGCCCCAGTGACTGAGTGAGCAATCTTTAAGTGCTTTACTGTTTCTTCAGATCTTTTATGCAAATATGCATTAGGTGTTTGTTTGGAAACATTCTCATACCTTCAGGGTTTCAGCAGCAACAAGAACAGTTTGATGGAATTTAACAGAGAAAAACAGACATTTTGCATCAGCTGTGAAATCATCACCTCGTATATACCCAACTGAGTGTAATATGTAAATGTCACAATACTTGTTACACTGCTTTATTGCCAGGTTATCGCTGGAAAATGCTGTGCAAAAATATCACAGCGCTAATATCTTAAAAACAATGATGTCACCACTTCTTAAAAAAAAAGTATTTGGTGTATTACTGTTAATAAGCAGGATAATTACAGCATGATTTTAGATTGTTAAAACTTAACTTTAATGTGCTGCAATTAAAGATAATTTCAAATAAGGATAATTGCACATGAGGCCATTGCTTGTCCTCATTCAATTTCAGAAGGGATAAAAACAACTCCTGGGACTTCTGAAGGTAACTGATCACAGCTAATGAGATACTGACAAGTTGCTTTTTGCAAAACTCACAACACATTAGGAAGCTGATAATAGGCTATCAACTTTTACATTTGGAAAGAGGGTCTGTGTATGGAGTGCACTGAATAATGATAGTTTTTGGCAGCAACATGAAAGCAGACAAACTGATTCTGGGTCATTACAGGATTTCTGTCTGCTCTTTCTTTGAATAAATATGTCAAGTGTACACAAGCACATAGAGAGAGAGAGGGGAAAAAACACACGACTTGTCGACTCCTCCCGGGGGGTGTCGACTTGTGCCACTGACGTCGACACGTCGCCAAATCTGTTAATGCCCTTGTGAGAATCGATATTGTGTATCGATACTGTGGAAATGAGTACTGAAACTGTTTCAAATTAGGGCTTGGTTAAAATAATCGATTCATCAGATTCAAATTGATCTTCATTTGAATGACCCGATATCGATTCATAAAATCCAAGATCGGTCTTGTAATATGCGTTTTTCCCACAGATGTGTGAAGCTTTAACTCTGTTAATCTCAACGGTAGTAAACGGGCCAACGGCGCAAAATTATTAATGACCGTCGTCGTTCTTTCTAAACTTCACTCAGTATTGTGATGTCAGGAATATGATTTGTTATATTGACATTTTAGATCTGTCTCCAGTGAGATATTGAGTTTATATTGTGACTTTGCTGTTTTAATATTAATGTCGCTGCTCTAGAAACAACATTTAGTCATAAAATATTCAGTTTTAATCCTGCTCTGAATTTATTTTTCCTTTTAAAATAATTCCTCGTAAAATGTACAGTATTAGTTCTCTGAGAATCTCCTTCACATACTAGCAAAAATTGCTATTGTAACTGAGATATCACCAATGGAATCGGGACCTTGTGAATCGAAATCAAATCATTTCAGGAAATCAGTGGTGACACCCAGCCCTATTTCAAATTTTCAAGATCAACATGTATCTAAAAACAGATATGTTTGATAACACTATCCACCAGTGTCACGTTCCCATCACTGCTCATCAGAGCTGGAGCTGGTAAATACCCATGACTACTGCAGAGTCATTTGTCCCAGGAACAAATACCGATTGTAACCTTTCCCACGATAGACAAAAGCCAGATGTTACTGTGTGTTGGTGGGATTTTGTTGCCCAGTGAGAAAGGGGTTTTTATGTGTTTGTGTTGTGTTTGCCCACAACATGCCCCCAGTACATGCTGAAAATGGGCTTCAGTCCCTCTGTGGGGATAGAAAATAGATGGATTAATTATTTCAGTCTGCACTTAAGAACAAAAAGGACGAAATAAATACCGATAGATCTAAAACATAAGCACAAGCATGAACTTTTAAATACTAAATAAGATACCTGATTGTATGTTTCAGTTTTATAATGTCCATCATGAACACTGTGCCAAAACTGAGGTTAACTCCAGCTAACACTGCAGCTGTTGTGGTAATTATAGAAGAACCACAATACAGTGTGTATGCGTGAGCTGACATTATTGGCCCCATGTAACACAGTGTTCAGTCTGCCAGTTAAGACTAACAGCGATGAAGATTCAGCCAGCGCTCGCTGTAATCGAGCTGTCATTCCTGCAGACAGCTGAGAAGAACATCCCAGCATAAATATACACACACCATCAAACAGGTTTCAGACTTATCTTAAATCTGAAACTATCCACCGTGTGCCTGCGCATATCTTTATTTGATCTGAGTCTTATCCTGTCCTCACATCGGATGATGCCTTCCGAGACTGGCACGTTGTAACTGGCTGCTTCAGTCAAAAGGCATCGAGGGGGATTTTTTTTTTTCCCTCTGTCTTTTTCATTTGGCGATCAGGGTGACTTGTTGACGCGTCCTCCTTTGTCCTGTCGCCTCGTGTGACATCAGCGCTGACATGATTACAGCTAATGGCTGTCGCAGGGACTGGGTCGCAGGAAACGCTCCCAACACTATATTTAGACTTTTTACTTCACTGCCTCCTCTCTGATTTAGAAAGCAGACATTTTGACTCAACACCATCTCTTGAGTTCAGTTTGACCTCCTCCTGTCAATCGATACCCCGTCGAGCTCGGTGAAAACGCTGCCACCGTGACTTGTAAAGGTGAGGATGAAGGCGGCGGTAATGATGATGATGGAGGCGGTGATGGTGCTAAAGATGTTAATGGTAGCCGAGATGATGAGAATGGAGGTGGTGCTGATGATGATGAAGGTGGGCGGCTGTGATGGGGGTTGAAGTGATGATGAAAGTGATGACAGCGTCGTTGGTGATGATGATGAAGGGGGTAGAAGTCAGCACTTTAGACTGAAGACTGTCTAGCTGACTAACAAGGTCTGACACTCCTCTCCCTCTCTCCCCAGTTTGAAGCTCGAGTGTGACAAGTTGGCCAGTGAGAAGTCAGAGATGCAGCGCCATTATATCATGGTGAGTGAAGCTGTGTGTGTGTCGTGCACCAGACATGATGATTTGTGTATCCTTATGCCGTTTTTGCCTCAGTGTGTTCGACCAATGAAACATCTGATTTCTACATAAAGCTCTTGATGTTTGTTCTTGTGTTTTTACTGTCTCTGCTAATTAATACTCCATCTTAACTTCCACCCTCCCCACTCGTCCTCCACCTTCCCCTCTGCAGCACAATTGTTCTCTGATGTCTCTTTTCTCGCTGCTCATTTTAAAATTTCTCTCTTAAAAGGTAATTCTGGTTTATTACAACTTGGATCTTATTTTAATGGCCTTGGCCATCTGTTTCATGTATTCACAAAAATTGCACACAGTAATAAAATCACTGAGATCTTGGAATGCAGCAATGCAGTTAAACACAAGTCAGACTGAGGGGGATGAAAAAAAGAGCTGTCAGATAAGCATACATGTTTTAAACAATCTAAACTATGGCAGTATGATATACATGTCAGCATCAACATTGAGATGTGCGCATGTGCAGTAGTCGCATCGCAGGGCGTGTAATGTTGCATCAGGAAAAGGCCAATGAACTCAAACACGTCATGCTACGACACAGGAAAACAAGCATGGTTCTCATTTTCAGTGACTAATGTTACCAGCCAAACCCCAGTTTATGTGTGTATGTGATATAGTCTGGCAGCATTTGTTCTGAGAAGTGAGACTCTCCTGGTGTGTGTGTGTTTGTTGAACAGTACTGTAAACGGGCCAGCAAGTACAAGAGACACAGTGAAGCACATGCTCAGCCGAAGATACAGTGATCAGCAAAAGTGTCTAGATAAGCTCAGGTTCCAGCTTAAAGACTGCAAAAGGGCCGTGTTTTGTGCTTGCGGCACAGAGGAAATAAAGCATCTGTTAAATGCAACATTATTTCAACATCTCCCGACCATTCCTCACTAGAGGTGTAAATTAGGGGTGTGCCATATCATCTCGTTCACGATAATATCGGTATAATTTTTAACTGGTAAAATCACATGAAAAATTCATATTGTGATACGGCAACAACAAGCATGGCTGAAAGCAAAATAATTAGCGACTCCGCAGTGGCTCCAAAAAGAGGAGCAGATTCAGTAGTGTGGAATAAACTGTGGCGTCCTGAATGTATTATGAACAGCCCCGGACTTCTCAGACTCTTTTGGCGAGTTATCGCTCAGAGGGAACTCAGTCAGCGGCTCCTCTGGCAGCAGCACAGCGTCTCTCCCTCTCCTCTCTCACTTTGCGCACACAGGAGTCAGTGTCATCAAGTGATAAAACCTCTTGTAATGTAAACCTACATGATGCTCCCAGCTCTACAAAAAAACTACATACATGTTAATATACCATAGTTACTGTAGCATAACAATCTGTCACAGGTTACAGCGTGATGATTAGATGAGAGATGGCAGAGCATAAAGGTCCAGGTGGGAAAATAAACAACTCAATCATTTAGGATTTTGCTAAAAGAAGGAAATCACCTGTTGATTTATATATATAGACCCCAGGGTATATTTTTTTGTATTTGGGAGCTGTTTAAATGTGTAATTTGCGGTAGGTCCAATTTTGATGTACTAATAATATTGTATACAGAATCTGAATCTCACTCTGTGTTACTGTTGTTAAAGGCGTAACCGGAAGACGATGATGTGGGTCGAGGCTTTCACTTTGCATCAGTGATATTAGACTGTTGATCATTAAATCGATATATAGATCCAGATCGATGGATTTTTCACTCCTATTCCAGACTGTAAAAGCTAGTTACCAGCTACAGGTCAGGCTAAAGCTATTAAAGTTAGCCTAAAGAAACCAGAGGTCTCCCAACTCCATCAGCACAAGGGAGCCACCTTATTTTAGGGTCAGCAACATGTGTTATTAATATGACATGATAGATCTGTGACTTCAGCCTGGATTAATGGAAGAGTATTACTGTATATGAATACAATGTTGTCATAGAGAGTCAACCAGTGCATCAAACGAACTGATTTCACCCTCCTCCCCCCTCCAAATAGTCGTCAGAGAGGTCATTTTCCATCTTTTATTATTATTATCATTATTATTACTATTACTATTATGATTATTATTATTATTATTATTATTATTATTTGTATTGTCTGTGCAGATGCACTCCCCTGCAGAATCACAGCAGAAGAATAATTACATTCAAATAGAGCTAGTCAAGCCTTTTGGTGAATAATGCTGTATTTCTTTATGCCAAAATAAATATCACAGGGAAAAAAATTTGCAGTTTTCGATGTAGTGCAGCCCTAATCCAAAGGATTAACCAATATGGGTTAGAATCTCACTATTAGATTACGAGTTTGTCACAACTCTCAGTTCAAACTGATTATCGGTTCAATCAGTAGGAATGTGAGGACTCTTGCTTCAGTTCACCGTGTGCCAAAGTATTCACTCATGTTTTCATTTCACTGAATTGTAATATAAAACATAACTGGCAGCCGAACAAACTGACCTTGTCACTGTCTGACCGAACAGACAAAGCAGAGAAAAGTATGTGGGAGTGTATGTGAATTATAAAATGAAAGAGCAATTTGCTGACAACCACCTCCGCTGCCTGGAATGTCTCACTTCTTTTGTAAAAAACAGAAGTTTATCAACATATTATGGAGTGAGAGTGCGTCACTGTGCCATTATAACTCCAACAGTGCAGAACATGCTCTATGTACCAAGGAAACCCATTGTCATCTTCAGCCCTGTATGGGGCCACGTCTCGAAATGGAACAGCCTACGGACTGTCTTATTTTCTTTGCTTGATCAGAGCTGAATAAAGGTTTTGTTAAGTGGTGCAGGTTGCAATGTGTCTCGCTAACTTGTTTTCCAGTAATGCTCCACTTTTCTAACAATAGCTCACCGTCATCCTTTGAAACTAGTTATTACATATTTAAAGCTAAATCAGTTGCCTTTATTGAAGATGAGCACTGGTCATTCTAGTTTGTGTCTAAACTGAGACTGTGGCCTCACAACACAGGCACACAGAAACTGTCCACCCTAAATGTCCTAAACTGACATTTGCTTATGTTCAAGTGGCACAGCTCTCTCTTTATCTCATTGTGAGATAAAGGAAGTCAAGTGACGTTACCACAGAGCCACATAGTCTGCAGCAAGAAGAGGTAGAGGGGATGGATGGACCAACAAAATGTGGGACTCTGCCACCTTTTCTTGTTACATCAATATAGCAAAGACAAACTATAAAGTAATACTCATATTAGAATCCATTTTTGAAAAATGTGAATTGATTCTGAATTGTAGAAGATGAGAATAACAGTCCTCATGTGAATCAACACTCGTGTGAGGTTATGTTTTCAGTTCACTTTGTTGGTTTGGTTGTTTGTCAGCTGGATTATGGAAAAACTTCTAGCCCAGTCTTCATGAAACTTGGTGGAAAGGTGTAGCATGGGCCAAAGACGAACCCATTAAATTCAGGATCGATCAAAATCAAGGGGCGGATATACAATTTATTTTTCACTGCTGTCAGCCTTGTGAGACCGGGTATTTTGCCTTTGTGGAGGTCTGTGTTCTCCGAGTGCCCTTTTAGTCCAGCTGTTTTTAGTCAAGTTTGATATTGAACGATACTGGTATTTCTAACATTGATGCAGTACCTTGAAAAATATCGATATTCAGACATTGTGGACATGCCATTTAGAATTATTATGAAAAGATAAATATAACAAGGCTGTAAGATTACAACAATGAATCTCCTTTTCTCGAATAGTAGCAGAGAACGGCAGAATGTCTGAATGAACATTAACAATAATTCAAACTATTTTATATCAGTGAAAATAATATTCTTGCGGTAGTGCCCACATTCAGAAGCCTAAAAATAAAAAAATCGTGCCTCAAAAGAGTGTGTGCGACCAGAGTGAATTAAGGCGGATTTATACATGTGCGTCAGCTCTATGCAGAGCCTATGACATAGCCTACGCACGTGGCATTTTTACTTGTATGGTGGTGTGTCTGTGCCACTCTGCATTACACCTCCAAAACACTAGCGATGGAGCTTCTGTGAAGTGCTGTAAAATTAAGTTGATTTAAAACACACATTAACATTAACACACATGGCTTAATAGAGACAATTTCAAACACAAGTACATGAATTGCTTCAAAATAACAGGATTCACAGACAAAAAACATGTCTTTATCTGGACACGTTTTCCCCACAAATACAATATGCTAATGTTATTAGCAAAAGCCTATGGCATTTTACCTCGTATAAATTAGCCTAGTGATTAGCGGAGATTTCCTCTGCTCATATAAAGCCTGGATAAATCACACACAAGACTTAAAATGCTATTCTGTGGAGCCTTTATTGTCTTCACATCTTATTTTTTCTTATCTGTGAAATTAAAGTAAATAAAAGCTTTGTTTCCACTGAGGGAAATGGTTTCAGCTTACGGAAATAGACAGGAAGTGTGCGTCGCCGCAACATGTCGTTATATTTCTGGGCAGGTGCATGTCAGGCAGAGCCTAAGCCTTAGGTACAGCGTCAGTTTGACTCAGAAGTATAAATCCTGCTTGAGACGAGTGACGAGGAGACAGCATTGTGAGTAAGTGAGGGGAGGTGAGGCTCCTGACAGTGTGTGTCAACTCGCTGTTGGAGAGAAGAGAATGAGACAGTAGTATTGACACTGCAAAAAGTGAATATTGAATCTGTTTCAAATTTTCAGAATTGATGTTTCAATAAATCTACATTCTTGACACCACTAGGTGAAGTTGCTGCTCTGAGATCTCAACAGTTCACTTGGTTAGAACAGTGGCATCGTAATCAGCGTTAGCCAAACCTGCAAATATAAGACTGTAGTTGTAAGAAATTGGAGTTGTCCTTTATTATTCACCTCCTTATTGTTTCTGGATGATCTGTATGTGTGCTCTCTCTCTCTCTCCCCAACCCCCTTCATTTCCTCTCCTTCCCCATCACTCTCCACACATACACGTTCACGCACAAACACGCTCACACAGATGTGCTTGCCCGCTCTCTGCTCCACCTCAGGGCTAATCTCATTGTTGCTGGCCGTGGCTGTGTTGCTGTCTGATGTTTTGCCTCTAATTGATCTTCTGACTGGCTTTAATCTCATCTAATCTGTGCCGCCGCACTGCTCTCTCCACCATCAGCCAGCCAGCAGGCACACACATATGCATACACTCACATACACACCACCTCTCTGTGTGTTTCAGGCAGGCGTGAGTGCATACAATCTCCCCCACACACACACAAACACACTCAGGCATTGTCGGCTTGATAGCAGGCATACACACACGTAAACACACATAAACACACACATAAGGACTGGACAGCTCAATCATGTAATTAAAAAAAAAAGAAAAGTAACGATGACCCATTTTTTTTTGTCTCTACATTTACACTGATGTTCATAATTAATGTATTTTCTTTAGCATTTAGTTTGTTTAATTGCTGTAAATTATCCAGATCAAGGTAATGGTTGAATTGAACGTTTACTTGCTTTGCCAAAACCCAGCTTCCTCAAGTTTACATGATTTCTTTGATGGCTGGGTAAATGTCCGGCAGGATGTGCGTTCGCCTGCAGGCTGATATTATCTGTAAGGAAAGGAAAATGAAGGGTTTTCATCATGGTTTGGTATTTGTACTGTTTGCAGTGCACTGCAAAGTGTGTTTTGTTTTTTCTGTGACTGCTAAATGTAGTATGTCTTTCCGCTATTTAAGAGCTCTGCCTTGTTTCCAGTTCACTTTGTGACCTAATGAGTGCACGTGCCAAATCAAACCGCTGAGAGAAACCTGACAAAGCCGTATACATGCAAAGAGTAATTGAAAGGTTGTTTGAAAGTTCAGCTCTATCAATCTTTTCTGTTCTGTGGAGGATTTAACCCCTTAAATGTTGTAACAGCGCCTCATCATGCATGCATAATAAGCTCTAGCCTTTTCAGTTATCTTTAGAAAACAAGTGAGCTGTGCTACATGAATAGTCGTGGTACAGAACCATCTGAGGACTAATGTTAAGAAACCTTTTGGGTTCAAAACCACAGATATCAAAAATTATAGATTAAAATGACGCTGTTTTCTGCCTTTGAAAAATGAAACATCTGCAGTATGGTTACCACAACAATAAATCTGAAGTCACCTGTTAGAAGCTGTACACATGGCGTTGGTTTTTTTTTTGTGTGTCCTCAAATTAGTTGTTTTCAATGTAGACTAGCAGCAGGTGCACCCAAACGCAGGAGCAACACCGTTGCAGCACGTACGGGTTCCTGAGCTCCTACTTTACGAACAGGATTCTACTTTTGGAACGCAGCAGCGCACACCGCATGTCATGTGACAAGAAACAACCAATCACAGCCAACAGACAACTCTCCCGTCATCCGTAAATAACAGTCTGTGGTAAATATGGAGAAGTTGATCATTTTAGTGCAAAGATTTACATCTGTTCCACAGAAAATAGGCCATCACACAAACAGCACCTGGAAGACGATCAGCTCTGCACTCAGGATTTTAGGTAAACAGGCTACGATACGTGCTTGTTAAGGTTGCTTAGCAACCTCAGATGCAACATGCTGCTGTGCTCTTGCAACCTGGCACAGAGAAGGCGCAAGAGTAGCACCCAGCGCCTGACCTAGTGATTTGCATGCCGTTAAAAATGTGGCATGTGTATGGCCCCTGAGGTTGTCACTCAGTGAAGCAGCAGAAGAGACACACGATGAATGAAAAATTTGCAGTTAGGACATGTACACTGCGTTTGTTCAAACTTGTGTTTTTTAAGTTACATCCCTAATTGCTAATTTATATATTGTTAATTTATTGTCGTCGCAATGCTAACTTACGCTATAAACAAATCGCGAAAGACCACAATATTGCACTCAAGGGTTTTTGAGTTAGTTGAAACTATCAGTATAAAACTGTGCTTTAAGAATATAACTATCATTCTTATTTTTTATTGGTGCCTTTTGCGTTTAGATCAATGTTCAACTTGTTTAATTCTACAAGCAGTATTTGTTTATATATACTGAAAGCAGTGAAAAGGCAGAACTGAGCATACTTTAATATCTGTATATTTAGCGCAAGTAATATTGTTATCTTGATATTCAGCAATGTTATCACACAAGTTCCTCATATTCTGAGCATCCTATTGGGAACGTAATACTTGTGTGACACAGCCAGGGTTGGAAATTAGCACCAGCCAAATGCTGGTAAAATATGCAAGTGGCTGCCAGATCAAGCCTCAAAAACAAAGGTAATCTACTGAGTGGCTGGTAGATTTTGGAATCCAACAGCCACAGTGGCAGGTGGACAAACAAGTTAATTTCCAACCCTGGATGCAATTATAAACCAGGTTGTTCTCTAGTTGTAACCAAACTGTGCATGGACGCTTTCTTTGGTTTGGTTTCATTTGTAACGTTATTTATACTTTCCTCTGAAATACAAAGGGATTTTTTTCACTGGAAACCATCTTCAGATTCAGCTCAAAATGTTGCGATCGAATTCAACTATGAATGCAATATGGCTTATCCCTCCTCCTCCACTCGACACATGCACGCTTCAACACAGACACACCACGCACACACGTGCACTCTTTCAATCGCACTTCCACTCCATCAGTGGCAGGCCCGGCCTTGTATCCCCACAACGACCACCCCCCTCTCCCCACTCCGTCTCTAATAGCATATCAGGTTGCCCCACTCCCCCGGCCAGCGGCAGCACCTCCATTTCCCCAGCACTGTAATTACTTTAGGGAGCTTCCGCGTGGGCCCGAGCAGCTACAGAGAAAAAGCGTGTGTGTGTGTGTGTGTGTGTGTGTGTGTGTGTGTGTGTGTGTGTGTTTTGTGTGTCTCTGGATGTACGTGCACGTGCATTCACGTATAAGATAGTGTCAGTGTGAGATCGAACAGAAAACAACAATGGCGTGTGCGTGTGAGTGTGAGCGAGCGAGTGATAGAAACGTGTGTGTGTGTGTGTGTGTGTGTGTGTGTTTGTGTGTGTTGTTTGTTTTGCAGTGACAGAGCCAGTCCCCCCTGCAGACAGAGTGGGTGATTAACAGGGTTGACGCCTAGAGGGTGGCCCTCTCATTAACACTGAACTCACACACACACACACACACACTCAACGCTCACTCTCAACAGAGGCTCTTTCTCTGTACTGTCTCGCCTTTTCTCTCTCAGTTCCTTTTCCTATTAGTAGCCGTGTGTCTTCTCTTCTCTTTGTGCGTGTTTGCATGAAGGTGTGTTAGTGAGTGGGAATACGTTGGGACTTATTAAGATGTCAAAGATGTGTTGTGATAAGCTGAGGGTCTACAATGTGTTGAAGGATACTTTTGATTATTTCCAACCTTGACTTTTATTACCTAGATTTTACCTTCATTATTGAAAATCTTTGAAATTGCTGCACACATTTATAGTTCGCAGGGAGCACTTCAATCAGCAGCGCTGAGCAATTACCAAATCATACATTTATTCTTTTTGGAAGACCAGCTGAAAAAAGAGAACTTTAGTGTTACCCAAATGCACATCAGCTGTACAACACATGATTTTTCTCTCACAGTAAATTCTGCATATTGAAGTGTTGGCATGGAGCTCCTGTGCAGAAGATTGCCTGGTAACAGTTATTTGATGCCTGTATTGTTGTAACATTTTCCTTTTGTCTTCCTCTTTGTTCTTTTTCAGTACTATGAGATGTCCTACGGACTTAATATTGAGATGCACAAACAGGTGAGTGTACATGCAGTCCTTTTAGAACAAACTCTTCTGTTCCCAGCACATAATACACAAACCTGTTGTATGTCCTTCAACAGCAAACTGTTGGAACACCCAAGGATGCATTAAATGCTTGTGGAAGATACATGTTTATGGAGCTAGGCCAGAAAAATAACATTTCAATCTTTTCGTGTCTTCATGTTTAAGGTGTTTATGTTGATGTAGTCAATAATGGCAATCGGTCTTGTGTGCCAGTATAGACTGTGAAACTTTTCTTCAAGGCCCAGACACACCAAACTGACACAAAAGAACTAGTGGTGATGAAAGCAGACAGTTGCGACGCCTCATGTTGCCTGTGTCTCGGCCAAAATGTTGCAAATTAACACACCACTAAGACTACATTCGATGGCCAACCAGCATGTACGTTCTGAGCCTGTGTTAGAGGAAATAATTCTCCACACCAGCAGTCAGCAGTACTCTGTTACCATCATTCAAAAATGGAAACCCGAAGACCGCCATGACACCAGTTAGCCAGTTAGCACATTAACTACACACCCCAGTGTTGAAAGAACAGAGCATATTTACTGTACGCCATTGAACAATTACAAAAACAATCAGACAGTGTTTCTGCCAATGAGCTTAATGGCTAAAGGAAAAAAAACTTCCTTTTACTCTTCACTTCAGCTTTTTGTTTACTTTCCTCACTTCCTTTTTTCTTCTTGTGTGCTTAGCTGAACTGCCAATCAGAGTGATTTCATTCATTGATAAGCTCTGCCATCTCTGACCCTAATTCAACATGTTGAATCAGCTGAAAAAAAGGCAACAAGGGCTGGCTTGGTAGTAATTTCTGTTTCTGTTCGCTGCATGTTAGGTAGTCAAGCTGTAAGTTCTAAGTTAGCAATGACTGGTTCACAAGATAGAGCTGTAAATGATTTTTTACAACTGTTATCATTCTCCACTGAAATTAGCATGGTTATTTAGGTTTTTTAAACAAGGGAAAAAAAAAAAAATAGGTGATAGACTCCTTTGCCATTGCAAGTAGACAAGAGTGTACCATGTGTACAGGGCTCAGTATTAGACGAGGATGCTTTTGTTTTTTGTTTTTTGTTTTTTTGTCTGGTGTGATTCGTTCGACGGCCAGTGAAAATGGGCCAGATGTTACTTATTTTTTAATATCTCTTATTTATTCAGTCTCTTATGATGTTTGAGCACTGCTTGGACAAAAAACAAAAATATTTTGTGGCAGCATGTCACTGTATCACACTGGAAAAGAGCCTGAAAGTGTCCAATCGGGTGACATGTTTCCATCGCTGCTGATCCAAGCTGAAGCCAATAAACCCATGACTACTGCAGAGTCATTTGTCCTGGGAGTGAAAGCCAATTGTAACTTCTCCCATTAAATCCGTGTATTCTTGTCCAGTGAGAAGGGGGCTTTAGAGAAGCAAAGTAGCAGAGCTATGTGGGATTTATACTTCTGCATCCACGCTGTACCTATGGCCTAGGCTCTGCGTCGACGTGGAGTCTACACCGTACCATATGCTGTAGCCTGATGTGACCCTCCCCAGAAATGTAACTACATGTTGCGGCAACGCAGACCTCCTGTCTATTTTTTTAAGCTGAAATTTCCCTCAGTGGAAACAAAGCATTTATTTACTTTAATTTCACGGATAAACAATAAATTGTGAAGACAGTAAAGCTTCCACAAAAATTGCATTTCAAGTCAAGTTTTGTAGCGTTACCTTTGTGAAATGTTGCTGATGTCCCTAACTTTACATGAGTAGAGGAAAGTCCGCTAGCTGCTAGGCTAATTTATACAATGTAAAATGCCATAGGTGTGTGCTAAAAGTGAACCTGATTTGTGTACCTGTATTTGAAATTGTCACTATTAAGCCATGTTTATTGTGTGATTTAGGTGTGTTTTGAATCAGCTAAATTTAACAACATTTCACAGAAACCCCACCACCGACTAGCGTTTTGGAGGTGTAACTGCAGTGACACAGACACACCACCACACAAGTATAAATGCTCACAACTGTGTAGGCTACGGTGTAGGCTCTGCATGGAGCTGACGCACAGTATAAATCTTGCTTTACAGGGAACAGTCAGTTTCTATTTGAATGTTCTTTACAAAAACATAGGAGTCTCCTGAATCCTTCAATTTCACACTAAGATAATGTTCTGGCAGTCAGAATTTTTTTTAACTTTGTTTTTATGAAAACCCGTTTTTTGTTAGTTTGTAAATGATGATGCTGTTGCCAGGGAGAAGCCAAAGAAAAGTCTGCAAGCGAAACATGAAAGAAGCTTTTCCACCAAACTTTGTGCTGACAGCGAGCAGGAAACCACTTCTTTCTTTGGCATAACTTCACTCTCCTAAGCACCTGTCCACCAGGTGTGCGTTAGGCAATATTCCCTTTGACGTGCTATGGAGAAAACAGCAACAGCCACAAATAAGAGCTGCAGAAATTTCACAACCATTAGATGTCAGTGTCAGAAACAAAGAACCAAACCAAATCTGTTGAATTCATCTAATAAAGAAGTGAGTTTTTTTTTTCCTTTTTAACTCTCCCTTCTATAAATGGTGCAGACAGCATCATTTTAAATTTGGTGATTGGCTGAAGTCTCAAGGACTACCAGTTCTTCATAGCAGTCCATAATTGCAGTTGTTCATACTGGTGATTCAACCGGGAGAATTTCATGGCCATCAGAACCTTGGAGGTGTTCCAGCTGCCAGTCACTTAAAAAAAAACAAAAAAACCTTGAACCTTGAAAATAACTCGTCTCACTTTGTTATTCTGTTGATGCAGACACAGCTGTGCATTCCCAACCCCATTCCCCCACTGTACACCTGCAGCTCACTGATTGGCAGGTGTGAATTACAGAGATAATCTCCCTTCACTTTGGGAGTGTTCAGAGACATTTGAATGATGTCACCTGAGGCTGTCTGTAGAAAAACAGGTGCCAAGGGGGTTCGCTTTTTCCGCTGTTGCCAAATCAGTTTCAGTTCACTGTATGCCACAGCGATGCCGAGCATGGAGATGTGTACGAGGAAGTGAATTTTATCAATTCCAAGTTTTGGAAAGTTTAGTTTGTGGATACTGATGTGGCAATAAATCCTGAGTTATACGGTTAAAACTTCAGCATCAGCTACATCATTCATCAGCAGAGAATCCAAGGAGCAGCCTCCCCAAATATTCGAATCCAGTGAAGACAGTACGGCTGGAATCAGTTGGCCATTTTGCAAAGAATAGAAGAGGCAGGGGAGGGGTGAGAAGCCGATATCCATACATCAGTTTGTGAGGCTGAAGCTGGGGGAGTAATTTATGCTCAGCCTGTAGGAGGGAGAGAGCGATGGGCCTCCAAAGGGCCAGCCCTTATCGGTGACCTCGTCTGGCGCTGCCCGTCCACACACACAAACACACACACTGTCTTATGATTGACGGCGCTCACTGACAGCCATATTGGGAGAACCGAGTATGCTCTGACAAATGGACACAGACACACACACGCAGGCGTGCACACACATACACACACAAGTAGTATCTTCCATGATTTAAAGACCTTCACATATATGCACCCACACAACTCTGAGGTAGGAAGCACAAGACGGCCGTGATGCATGAGGGGCAAACACACACACACACACACACACACACACACAGAGCCATTTGTGTGCAGTTCATCCCACCCTTTTCCTTTATCTGACGGATGAAATTCACAGTCACAAGTGCAGTTGCGTGTGTGCTGTGTCAAATGTGTACGTGTCCAGAAGTCAGAGGTTTTTGTGTGTGTGTGTGTGTGTGTGAGTGTGAGAGAGAGAGAGAGAGAGAGAGAGAGCGCAATATTGTACATTTGCTCATGCACTTTCCTGTTAGCTGTTTTTTCTAATGTGTGTGTGTGGGTTGAGACTGCCTGCGCGAGCATATTTGTGTTTGTGCTTGTGTCCCTCCCTATTAGTGTGTGTGTAAGTGGCACGTGTTCATGAGCGGTTGTGTGTTTCTGTTGATGTGTGCTCCTGTCACCCTGTGTGTGTGTGTGTGTGTGTGTGTGTGTGTGCGTGCGTGTGCGTGCTTTCTTTGTGCACAGTATGAGTGCGTGCGGAGAATCTCTAGTTCCATTAGAGAGTTGAAATTGAAGGGGATGTGTGGAAACGAGTCTCGAGGAGCATTCATGTCTAGGCCTATTGTGCACAGCCAGTCCCCCCCTTTTCCACCTCCACCTCCTCCTCCTCTTCTGCTCCTCCTCCTCCCTTTCCACCTCTGTCTCTATTTCCCTCTCTTCCTTTCTCTCTCGCACTCTCACACATTCAATTGCTCCCTCTTGATCACTCTGTCCCACTCAATTCAAAAAATGCCTCTCCACTCTGTCTGTTCACTCTTTCTCTCTCTCACTCTCTCTCTCTCTCTGTGTTTCCCCCTGTTTTGTCTTGGTGAGTAGAAGCATGGCTGAGTTTTGTATTGAACTGGGAATATGTTGTATGAAGCTGTATTGTTTCTGGGTCCCTCTTTGTCTTTCTATTGTTCCGTTTCCTCACCATGTTTTTCTTCCTCTATGTTAAGTCTTGAGTGTTTTCCTGCCCAACAACATAACTCTTCATCTGTGCTTTCTTCATGTTGTGTAGCATAGGCTCTTTCATTGTTTGTCTAAATAATGTATAAGCAGTCTGTAGGACACATTCAGTACAGTATAGTTAATTCCCAACATATTCATCTATAATGAGGGTCTTATAGGATTAACTCTAGCAAGTTATGCTTATAAAATAAGCATAACTTGCTAGCTAACTTGCTCCTATACCCTCTGCGCCTATGCCCTCTGTGTGGGCAGCTCTCGGCACACCAGGCATATATTGTACTGCAGTGGTTTGCACACAGTAATTTCACATGTAATGTAATTTCACACATACGTGATTGGGCCAAAACTGTTTGCAACTCCCACCATTCAGCTCTGATGTTCAATGTAATTTCTGCTAGTGTCTGGCTAACATTCCAAAGTCCCCTCCCCCTCCCCAGCTTCACAGT